AGGATCATTGGAAGATCACTCGACTGTATTTAAAGAGATCTCGCTGAGTTGAAAACTGAGTGTGTTTGATGCACATTTTTAGGAGATAATGCATTTTTGTGATGTGATAGTGAATATGTGGTTGAAAAAGAAAGAAAAATTATTGATGTGATGAAAAATATTATTTTATTGAAAAATGTGTGGTTGAAAATGAAAATGTGGCTCAAACAGGGGTTTAATGTGCCAGGGTTATTAACAAATATAAACCACTTTTATTTAATGTAAGGGTCTATAATTTGTGCGAAAATGAAAACAAGCATATCTTTATGGGATATAGAGTATATCTCTCGAAAAGTGGACATTAAACGAACCCCACACGGTTGAATAGAACTTTTTATAGCTTACAATAGCCCTTGTGAAAATTTTACATTACATTGAAAAATAAACCTATAAAATTTCATTTTTGTTTTTAGGAGAGAATTACAATGATTATAACTTCTCAATAATTATTACAAATAAATGTGAAAAAAAAAATGGATTTTTCAATTTTGACCCGTAATTTTAGTGTATTTTTGTAATTTCCCCGAATATTATAGGAGGAGGTTTTAGACCTTGAACTCCAAAATAAGACCTTAAATATATGGAGAAAAGAAATGTAAAAGCAAATTTATGTAAGTGATTACAACCCAAAAATAAATAAATAAAAATAACTGGCCTCTAATATAAATATGACGAGAAAAGGATTAAACCAAGCATTAGCTATATAATTTCATCGATGTAATTAAAACCAGATGTTAAAAGTAATTATTAAATATCCCAATTTCGTTAAACGCTTTACATTAACTATAGAATTGATACTGGGCAGTAGATATCAACAAAACTAGTTGTGTCATTTTGTTCTGGAAGAACTGATAGTGGGCAGTAGATATATTGTCCATCGGTGATATGGCAATACCACATGTTACCACATCGGTGGACAATATATCTTCTGCTCACTATGGACAGGAGATCAGTTTTGCTTGTTCTCATACGTAAATACAAACAAGTTTGATAAAAGATACATAAATTGAAATCTTTAGTTTTGTTAAGTGAACACGTAAAAAACAACTAAAATAGCTTAATGTCAATGATCTTGTCAAGTTTGGTATTTTGTCTCTTAATTCCACTCTCCTGTGTGTTTTTTCTCCTGCACCTATTTGCGTAACCATTCTTTGTTCTTCTAATGGATGAAATTCTGCAGCCACAATTTGTTTGGAGGCTAGAGAAAAACATTTTTTTCAAAGTGTGGCAACCAAACCGTCAGCTACAAGTGCGGTCGTGGACTTTGGATGGAAACAAATGATTTGATTTGATTTGATGTGATTAAAGAAGGACATGTAAAATGTTTTTATCGAAATTATTAAAAATCTGTTTGTATGCGAGTCTAAGACGTAGTAAATGTATTTCAAGTTTTGTTTCTCCCCTTTCTAACTTTCGATACAAGATAGATATGTCCCCTCGACCTAGTACTAAATTATTAAATACCGAAATTTTTTTGTGAAAAATAAAAAAATAGGAGAGGGGAGAATATTTGATTGGGGACAGTACCCATCGAGCTGTTGGGCACATGCAGACCCCAGCAGCCAGCAGGCACCCCAGCAAGTGGCTGATCCTGCAACACCGGCCTTGCGTAACGGCCACAAATATGGCCGTTGAGAAAGTAAAACATTTGATTAATGTAATAATATTCGAATTAACCACCCCTTTCATTATTAAACTCTTCTAAGAACATGAAAAGGCATCTGTGTTCTCATTGTGGCAAAATATTCTAATGTTAAAAAAACACCTTTTATTTCAGTATACTTTATAGTCAAATATTGTAATAACTTTTCTCATTACTAGTAAGTTCTATCCATTTTGACAAATTATGTTCAAATATAGTAAATTGTAACTTGTTACCTTAAAGTAAAGTAGAAGTCTTATAATTGTTTAGCCAAACATAAATTTCACGCCACACTACAACAATAATAAATTAAAATTTGTTTTCAGTTAACTCGAAACTAACTACTCAGCGAATATTAGCGGAGTAGATCTTGAGTTCAAGTCAAGGAACATCTTGGCTTTTTATAAAAATTGATTCTAATTTGCAATTAGAAGGGTGAGTAGTGAAGAAAAACGTTCTGAATACATCTCACTTACTGTATTAACGGACGAATAGTCAAACCCTTGAATTATACTACAATCTCAGGTGGCAGAAGGACAGCATTGAGGTAAAGCTTTCCATCGATGTGAGATCTGAATGAAGATAGTTTATTATTATAGAGTAACTTTTATCAGTTAAATGACAACTTCTTCGCTTAGCATAGTTGGATCACCAAGGGCAGCTTTTGAATAACTACATAAATTTGTTTTCTCTTAAACTATTAAAAAAATCTTATGAAGTGAAAATTGAAATTTTTTAAACATTAATTAGAATTATTTATTTATTTTTATTTTTTTGTGATTAATTTGAATCTGACAGCACCAAATCAGATTAATGATGGTACCCATAATTTCCCACTATATATATTTATATCCACTCACGCTCCCTCATCACTTGTTCAGTTGTTCTCCGCTCCTCTCTCTGCATATTCTCCGCCGGAAGAAAATACCGGAGAAAAATGGCTATTCTATCTCGAACATCGACTGATCTTATGTTATCGCTAAAGATTGTGTTAATATCGACCAGTGTTTTGGGAGCTGCTGTTATGCTCAAAATTTCCTTTCCGGCAATTACAGAGTTTGCAGTATATGACGTGCCTTCAATCTATAACGTCGTCGTTTCATGGCTGAGACCTCCGTATTTATACCTAGTCATCAACTGTATTATAATCGCTATCGTGGCTACCTCAAAACTGCAGTCCAAAAAACATGATCTGTCTCCGGCCACGGCGCCGGCGCCGTTCGACACCATGGTTCATTTGCAGCCCCAACCGGTGATGCCGATTGTGAAAAACGTTCAAACCGATTATGAGTCAGTAGCTGAGTACAAGTACAGCGGCGTCGTTTTGAGTAATAACTATGGTTACGAAGTAGAAATGGGGAAAGGACTCGGGTTTGACGCGTGTGTACAAGAGAATGCGAGGATTATTGGCAATGAAACGCCGTTCACGGCCAATGTTGCCGCTCCGGCTGCCGCTATTTTTAAGGATGATTCGATGAGTAACAAGGAGAATGAGTTTGTCATTTCGAAATCTACGCGGATGCTTTCGGTGAATGAAGATTCAACGGAATATTATACACCGAAAGGGAAGCTGCCGGCTTCTGTAAGGTTCGGTCACCGGAGAAATGTCAAATCCAGTCCCGATGGTATCAATTTTCTCCGTATTTACATCTCTCTTTCTTTCCCTTACAATTTTCAAACACGTGCACATAAAGGTACATAGCTTATAACTTATAAGCTTAAAATATATCGTCACCTGAAAATTAAGTTTTGAAATAGCCGGCGAGAATGAGCCGATAACGGTAATCTCCGAAATGCATTAGCTGGCAAAATGTTACCGTTGGAGTTTGGTTGTCTGTGAATTAATGACAGAGGATTAGATTGGATGGGAGTGCTAGTCTATTTGTGAATTGTGGTCCACCACAGCTGAATATTTTTGTTGATTAAATGCCGAAACTGTCCATTGCCCGGAAATCGTTGGGGCGGGTCAAGAGGAAGGCGACAAGACGAAGAGCCGTTTAACGGCTCAATAAACCTAACCCACTCCCAATCCGAATTAATTAGTACACATCCAACGAAAGAATTGAATAAATTATTGAACTCAATTTTATTTTCAGGTGGCAAGTCGTTATTGGGTGTTTCAAAAGCGAAAAGGCACGACACATTGGAGAGTATGTGGAAAACGATCACAGACGGACGGGCAGTGCCATTAACTAGGCACTTGAGAAAGTCCGACACCTGGGAGAGAGACAACCAACATCACCACAGCAGTCACCACCAGCAGCAACAGCTAGAGAAGACCCCACAAAAGATGACCAAAGCTGAAACATTCAAAGACCGTACAAATGCTACAAGCCCTTTATCGACTCCATCACCTGGTGGTGGTGGCTTGGGAAAACTCAGGAAGGAACCATCGCTCGGTCAGGACGAGCTGAATAAGCGAGTGGAGGCGTTCATCAAGAAATTCAATGAAGAGATGAGATTGCAACGACAAGAGTCTCTGAACCAATACATGGAAATGATCAATCGCGGCTCTCATTAACTAACTGCATGAGATATCATTTACGTATATGCAGATAGAGAAACTCTCTCTTTAAAAACTTGATTCAGAGTGACGAGTGAGTGCATAGAAATGGAGCCATATTTTGGGAGTTTTTTCTCTCTCCGGTACTTACTGTTTAATTTTTACAGGAGGGATGTTTACAAGAATAATTATACATGCTTTTCTTTTACTTTTTGCAACAAGTCCTATTGCAATGGAATCATTGTACCGTGAGATCACTGTGTGGTGTAAACGAGGTGGAATCAAATATGTTTTCATCTTCTCGACATACTTTTTGGCAGAAAAAGAAAATAGAAATACAATCATTAGCACTTATCGTGGATGGCATAGCATATTTTTTTACCCTCAAGTCTCAACGTTATGGAAGATTGAGCTAAAAATTATTTTGAACTAGTGTAGGGAGCTTTTTTGCTGCAGTCATGTCCAAATAAGTGTCTACTTAAAAATGAGATGAAATAACTAATTAGAGAAGCACGTTGTTGTAGAAATGCGATCAACTTTAAATGTGACATATTAAGGTATGTAATATGGTCCTCGAACTCCATTAGTTGTTGGAGAAGAGTGGACGTTAATCAACTGATAAATTCATCATGAATATTCACCACAAAATCCAGAAGCTACAAAAGAGTACACGACACAGTGTGGCAGTCAATGGCTGAGTAACCGGCATTGGTACCAGTGATGGAGGTGGGAGTGGTGGTGGAAGACACAAGGTATTGATATATGAGATATGCTAGATGTACACCAAGGTTTTCAACCCCCTCACAATAGGGGTGGCCTGCGTTTTTTTATTGGGCGCTGGCTGTACACCATAGGGAATAATAATAGATCTTAACAATGAATAGAAGTATGAAACCATGTGTTTGAAAGCGTAGACAGCCATGTAGGAGTTTGGTGGATTCGAAATTAAAAGTCACACTGATCCATTCCTCATTAAAGCATCACATTGTTCCATTCATGGAACTGAAACCTAGATTTAAACCATCTGCCTGTGTTCCATGACCAAACACCACATAGCTCCATTCCTCATAAATAAATAAATTCATTGGATGTTTGATGGATATTACTGAGGAAAAAATGTATTTCAAATAGTGATATGATGGAATATATGTGATTAAAAAGTAAAGAAAAGTTATTGATGTGATAGAAAACATTATTTTGTCGAAGAATGTAAGGTTGAAAATGAGTTTTAAAAGAATATGCGTCAAACACAAACTTACATTTTCTACAAAGAACTTTTCTTTTTTCATATTTTTTACGATGTTGGTGAATAATTATTTTACATGGGGTTTATTACCCCGGTACTCATTCTATACATTCGGTCATTAACGAATGTTCTCCACATTAAATATCAATGTATTGAACATAAAGAGTATGGTAAGGAATTCATTGGGTGCCAACTAAAGTTACCACAACAGCACTTTGCTCGTCATGGTCTGGTTTTTACTGCATGTATCCCTGTAACTGCTTACATTGCCATCGTTGTTGCTGGGAAAAGCTTATCCAACAGCGTATATACGCCCCCGCCTAGGAGGAAGGCCCCACTGGAAGGATATTCAATTCGCATATTAGAAGCAAAAAAAAAAGCCTGAAGTACTAACCAAGAAGGCAGCTGATGAGTCTATGAAGACCATTTTGATTCATTATTAATGAATCTAATGATGAAGTAATGATGAAGCAGATGTCAAAAATTATAATTGTATTTATGTAATCAGTACCTTATTGGGTTAATCCATGCAGAAAACTTGCGGAATGAAAGCAGGCTCTGCACATATCCATGTATTACTATAGTTAGGTGCTTAATTTATACATGTCAAATAGAAATCAACGGAAAATTTGAAGACTGCATAGCCCCTTCGGAGAAATCCCTTAGGTGGGGGAGAACAGTTAAATTGGACTAAAACATGGAGGTGTGTTCAAATCTGCTTAAGTGCCATTCAATATACATGAGGTACGTGCAGGCAACATATGACAATCTACAGAATTGAAAGCAATAACAAATTGGTGGTGTCAAACATATACCTGCAATGCTCCAGCAAAGGAAGCAGCAAGAAGTAGAGGAGCAACATAACCGGTTGTATAGGTCAACAGTAAACTACCCCCTATTACTGGATCCTGCAATAGACGTTCAGTATATATTTTTCTTCACTTTGTCAATTTGTATGTAAAATCAAGTCAATGTATAACTAGCATGTGAGACTGAATATTTTATTCTTTCTTGCCCTGTTGAAAATGATATTCACTTCAAAAGTCAATACCACATTATATTTGGCAAAATAATAAGGTACTATCCACACTCAATCGTGTAGTTCTCTTTGAAGTAAAACTTGAAAGATCCAAACCCCTGTTACTTAATTATGTACCTGAAAGATACAAAAGTGAAAAAGCTAAATGAAGACAAGTACCCTGGTAGATGCAACATATCCAAGCAAGGTGGCTAGAACTGGAGTGCTGCAAGGTGATGCAGCTAATGCAAATGTAAGTCCAGCCAAATACGCTTGAACACCTTACAAGTAATACAAACGAGAAATTAATAGCACTTTCAAGCGGTCAAGTTGTGTAAAGCCAGCCAGCTGGACCTTGTACGTGCGAAGAATAAACAATAGGATGGAAAAGCTTATTACTTGAAGGAAAATTAGCAGCAGCCGCACGAGGATCAAAGTTGTTGAAAAATGAGGGAAGTTGTAACTCAATTACCTGCATCATAGACCAAAAGACTGACAATAATTGAGCGGCAAGCATATTATAAATGCAAAGACTGCCTACAATTCATTTCTGTCTATTGACAATTATTGTGGAAAGTTCAGAGCTGATGGGAACATGGTTACAGAAAAAAGAGTTGGAATTTTACAGTAAGGGGGAGCAATTTGATCGACCTAATCCATTTATCAAAATAAGATTATAGACCAACTTATAGACAGTGTTAGAGAAAACCTCCAGATTCAATTCAAGCAAAACAATTATTTGAATAAGTCGAGAAAATATTTATATATAAATTATTCTGAAGGGGAAGTAAAGAAAGGGAGAAGCAGAATCAAAATAATGAGGTTGAAGGGAATTCATCAATATCTAACCTCTGACAAAGAAAGAATGTAACTTATTTGCAGCAAATATGTAAATTTGAGAATAATAGACGTTAACAAGACATTAAGATTTTTTCTTGTAAGAGCATACTGGCCATACGCAAAATATTGAAATGACACTAAGTAGACTTCATATAATCAGCAGAGGCTAAAATTCTACCACACAAACATTGGGCTCCAGACAAATTTCAAGAAAACATAAAATTAACAACAATGATTGGAGAAAGTCATGGAATAATTTCTGAAAATTTCAAAGTAAAGACTATATTCAAAAGGGGCAAGCACGATTAAACATACTGTTCGCTACAAAATATAAGATCTGTATCTATGAAAACAACTTTAATTAGAAGATAAGATACTTGAATGGAAATGGCGGATAGAAACAGTGAGGTTGTAGTTGACATCTTTATTAAGTTTTAAGAGCTACAAACTAACACCAGCTCGATCATCTTTTAATCAAAGTGCATCCTTGTGGTTCTCTGTTTATTCTATGCTTCTTACGATATTATCATGACTCACAATAAAGGCATTTTGTTGTACGATAACTTGTGGGGTATGTCAACACAAAATTTCTTAATGTAATAGTCACTACAAACATGTACGTTAAAAGTAACATAAAAAAGAGAAAGTAACAAAGATACCACTGACACTATGGTATATTATTAAAGTGCAACATTGCCAACACATATCCACCTACCTGCAAGAGATTTAAACCCATAATCACAGCCAAAAATGAAGCAGCAAGAGGTAGCCCCTGCCCTACTTGACCATAAGCCTTGCCAGCAAATGAGGCTGCTACACCTAGTACTGCTAATGTAGTCGCCAATCCCATTGCAAATGCAACAGAATTCCCAATAACCTGTCGAATACAAGCAATGCGCATTATAAAAGTAATTAAGTTCATATACTGCTTCATCAACAATCCATGTGAACTATTGGAATAATGTGAAACAAAACTATATGAGCCACAGCAGTCAATCTCCACAGGTTATCAATGCGGGTTGCATGTCAATGAAAACAGAAATTTTAGAAGACAAAAGACAGTAGTTTGAATTCAGGTTCAATAAGTAATTTACCTCTGCTCTATTCTTCCCCGAGCCAAATGCTCCTAGATGATTTCCAGAAAATTTAAGGTAAGCATCAGACATCAATGCAAACTGTATAGTAACAGGAGATCAGAAGAATTGAGACAAAAGCTCATACCTATGTAACCAAGGGTAAGTGGCAAAACACTGAGTGTGCAAGGAGAAAGGCTAGTTACAAGCCCAGCACCAAAAATGACTGACAAACTGCAAAGGAAATACGTTAGAACCACACATAAAAAGCTTGTGCAAGCAGTCATAAACCCAATGCAACATAGATATTTGATATGATATTAACCTAGTAAAACTGAGAGCTGACAACTGATCCTGAACAGCTACATTAGCCTGTTGACTGGCTGAATATAAAATGCCTGAAAACCAATCTCCGACGGCTCCATCAGCCAAAAGATAAACAGAATCAGGTATTTGCTGACCACAAGGAAAACAAGTTTTCAGAGGTTAGAACCTTGAAGTGCATACTGGGATGACACGAGCTAAACCAAAGTATTCTTAACGAAATCTTTTCCCATAACACAAATTGAATGCTTGTCCCGAAATGCAAATAGTGAAAAAGGATTGAAGAAGTCTTGTTGGATACCAAAAGAAAAGATTTCTATTTTGTTAGCCAAGGATTTAGAAAACTCCGACTTCACCCCATGGTTTGAGTTAATCAAGGATTTTATATTATCTTTCCAGCACATCCAGCTTAAGAAACAGTACTTCATCTAAAAGAAGAAATGTTATACACTCAGCAATATTTGCTGAAATTACAATATACGCCCAGATGTCTTGGAGCAGAGCTTTGCTCTGAATCCAGAGGGGGGCAGTTCACTGAAACTCTCAGTTTCAGACATGCATGCATTATTAAAGTAACAGGACACCCAATAAGGGGTAAAAAATTCCAATTTTGAGGGCATATCAATTCCAAAATTTAAACCAAAGGGTTCTCCAAAGAAAAAAAAAAAGAGAACCAGGAGAAGAAATCCAGATCGACATACTGGTTCAGCAAGTAAATAAATTGTGCGTAAAACACTGTTACTACAATTTTTAATAAGACTAAAGGTAAAGACACCACTGGTTTACATAATGAAAAATGCAAACCTCGAAATACTTGGAAAATAAAGGTTAGAAGCAGCACTAAGCTATGTTTGGCTCATGTTTATAAACACTTAAGCTATTTTTATCAACATATTTCGAGGGACACACGAGTACTACCAACTTATTCACCACTGATAACATTTCTATCTATTTATAATTAAAACCTTTATAAACACTTTCCAAACATGCTCTAAATTTCACAACTGACTTAATTATTTTTCTTCCTATTTGCAGAGCAAGATTCTTGTTCAAACTAAAGAAAGTAAAAAATTCTCTCTCAAAATCAAGAAGAATGTAAAAGGCTACAATCAGACGTACACTGGATCTTCTCAAGTTAACAAAAAACACCCTTTCTTGCTAGCATTGAAGATAAGCACTCAAAAAGAAAACTACTCAAGTTAGAATGAAGAAGTTTCTCACCTTGATATTTTCTCCAGTAAAAGCATTTGCAGTGTGTGTTAAAAGCAAATTTGCTGCAGCAAATTCCAAAAATAAAATCAGTTATTCTGTTGCCACTAATGCAACTTTAAGTTAAGCGAATAATAATAATAAATTAGTACATATCCTGAAAAGGACCAAAAGAAAATTGAGCGGGTTCAATTCTAGGTTTTTCAGCTCTAATTTTGAAAAAGAATCCACATTTTAATTAAACAAAATACAAAATAGTACTATTATGCAAATGAATAATAACCAAATGTAATTTTTTAATCAGATTACAGAAATAACATTCATGTGCAATTTTTCATACCTGCAACTGAATTCAGGAATAAATTAGGGAATTTAATTTTGCTAGTCTTTGACTTTGACAGTGATAAAACATCTTCACCATCAAGACACTCCCTCTTGAGGAACTTTGAATGCTCCTTGTCTTTTATACCTTAAAAACACAATAATAAAACCTAAGCTGGAGAATTCGAGGGCCTACGCTTCAAAAATGTGCCAGCTAGTGGATACATGTAGAACTTACCATGGATTCTTTTAGGCAGATGCT